TTAGTGACTACTGTTACCTATTGAGTTGACAGCTTCATGTCACAGCAAATAACACTGTGTTATTTGTAGTGTTTTTCACTTGTATGTTCTAGACTTAAAAGTTTTAAGAAAAGATAAAAGATGTGCCAGATTTTGAGAAGGTATATGTAGGAAATTTGAAGTCTTACACTGTTCACTTTGATATCTCTCAGATTTATCCACTTGATGTGTATGCTCTGACATGCTGGACTCTTAATTTTATAATTTTTACCTATTTTCCAACCTAAAGAAATACTATCTGTTATACAGGTAACTAATTTGCAAAATGGTTTTTAACATTGACTTACCAAAACTATTTGACAAATTTGAACTTAATTGTGGAAGTAGATAATCATCAGATGTCAAGGTTCCAGTAACATTTTGAAGTTAATCTGAAAATTCGATTGAGGAGTTACAATTATTGTAATAATTTAGTTTAGGTGCACTAATGATACGGAATGCTTTGATATCCATGTAAAATATCACATTGTTACTGTCAGATCGTCTAGTTCAACATAAAGAATTTATTTGATTTTCAAATGCTTATGCATGGAGGCTAAAGTTGACTTGCAGTCAGTTTTAACTGCAACACTTCTTTAGCATAATATGTAGGGTATAACTGTAGCAAAGATAGTTGCTACTGCCTCATTTATACTTGTCCATATTACTCAGAAAGCTTAGAAATCTTTCTTAGAAGTAAAGCTTAGATTTTCTGTAGCTTAATGACACTTGCCAGAAGGGGCTTATATGCACACTGGCAAGGAGGATTTTCAAGCTTCTCTACAAAGATCACATAGCAAATTTACCAGGTGGGGAAATTTTGTTTTCTGTTATAAGAGGAACACAACATGAGATCATACTCAAGATCTTTAATATATATGTAGCAGTCACAGTAGAAAAACTCAAGAATGTAAATTAGGAAGATAGTGCTTACTGCAGAGGAATAATGTTAGATTATATTGCAGAGAAATGTAATTATTAAAAAAAAAAAAAGGAAAAAAAACCCCTAACACCCCCAGAAAACCCTAGAGCCATTGTTTTCAAAATCTAATTACAGAATTTCCCTGAATTGGAACCAAATTACATGCATTCACAGCTCTCTTCTAACCTTGGCAGGCAGCTTGTTTGCTGCCATATAAGATTTGTTTCTCAGTGATACCACCAAACTGCAATTTGTAAAAGTTAGGCAACTAAATACTTCCAGAGAGCTGGGTTTTAGTACTTTACCAAGTGACAGTAAATGTTCTCTACTAAAATACTTGTCACTTCCAGAGTGATGTAAAGGCGTTCAAATGTTGCAGGGAATGCTGACTAGACTACTTTGTCTTTTCCTGGTGGTGAACAGGAAGGTATTATGGGTGCTCAGAAGAAAATCAGAGTGAAAATCAGACAATAAATCAAGGTCTGCTACTGAGAAGAGAATGAACATGTTCAAGAAGGCCAGTGGTACCCTGGGGTGCATGAAGAAGAGCGTGGCAGCAGGTCGAGGGAGGTTATCCTGCCCCTCTACTCTGCCCTGGTGAGGCCACATCTGGAGTTCTGTGTCCAGTTCTGGGCTCCCCAGTTCAAGACAGACAGGGAGCTACTGGAGAGAGTCCCGTGGAGGGCTGCAAGGATGATGAGGGGACTGGAGCATCTCTCATATGAGGAAAGGCTGAGACAGCTGGGTCTGTTTATCCTGGAGAAGAGAAGGCTGAGGGGGGATCTCATCAACGCTTATAAATATCTAAAGGGTGGATATCAAGAGGATGGAGCCAGAGTCTTTTTGGTGGTGCCCAGTGACAGGACAAGGGTCAATGGGCACAGGCTGGAACACAGGAAGTTCCACCTGAATATGAGAAAAAACTTCTTTACTCTGAGGCTGCCAGAGCCCTGGAACAGGCTGCCAAGAGAGGTTGTAGGGTCTCCTGCTCTGGAGATATTCAAAACCTGCCTGGACGCCATCTTCTCTGGAGATATTCAAAACCCATCCCAGATGCAACCTGCTGTAGGTGATCCTGGCTTAGCAGGGGGGATTGGAAGGTCCCTTCCAACCCCTACCATTCTGGGATTCTGTAAGAATGCCTCCAGACTACATGCAACACCACCACTATGAAAAATAACTGGAAAAAAACAGAAGCAGCAAAGCCCTGTGTTTGATATTTGACTTTGCCGATAGCCTAAATTCAGTGCAAAATAAATTATTTAAATTTATATTCCCCTGGGAGAATCACATGCAATCTTTTTGTGTGTAAATATCCAATGATGATGACAAATCTGTTTTATAGTTATGGGTTATTAGAATTATGACTTTTACTTCTGTAATCAGTTTACTTCTGATTCTCTGTTCTAGAAGATAGAGAACAGGAGAGTCTTCAGTATGATTGTGTAGTCTCTAATCAAATGCTACAGGAAACAATCTTAACCTTCCGGCACTGTTTTCCAACTCTATTCTCTTTTCCCAGCATCTTTTATAGGACTGTAGTTTTCTTATGTATCCATTGAATCTTTTGACAGTGCAGCTCCTTTTCCTAATTGAATGCCTTGGCTAAAAAAAAAGGTGTCTAGGTACATTCTTCATGATCCAAAAGGGATGAGTGGATGTATTAGGATGGGAATGGCAAGTGGCAAAGTTAAAACATGTTCAAGCATGCTTGGTGTTTTGCAAAACTTACAGCAATGATAGATTTTTGCATTTAGATCATCCAAAATTAGGATTTGCATAATCGGTCTGTACAGAAGAAGATTACAGATTAATGTGGAAGGGTTAACAGTGAGAGAGGCTGAATGATAGTGTTGAAGGTGACAGGGAACGCAAAGAAGCAAGAAAATTAGGTAGGTAGATCAAGAAATGAGGAAATGGAGGGGAGGTAGCCTAGCAGGAGGAGCATGTATAACTGGTGGAATGAAAAGGCAGAGGGAAGTAGAGTGAGTTTAGGAGTTTTTCTAACAGTCAAATAAGTTGAAGTGACTATAAATTTATTACCATTTAATGTGTATGTTGACTTTGTGACCGAATAACTTTCAGCTGTAAAGGTTGGAATGATCTCAGACAAGTGTTAACAGTGAAGGTGTTTCTTGTGTTGCTGATCAACACTAATCCTGAGCTAACAAGTTGTGTAAAGCTTCTCAGTTTCCATAACTATCTGTCTTACGTGGTTTATAATGTGTCTTTCCTAGAAGTTAAATGCTTATTTGAGACTACATAAGATGTTTTGATAGAATTTAAGGCTACAGAGAACTCTATGAACTTTTATTGTATAGCGAAACCTCTTAGCAGCATTCATTTAGTTAAAATTGTATGCATTTTTCTATTTTTCCAAAGATTAGTGAGCTTCTGTCTCAAAACTTGATTTCTAGCTGAATACAATGGGCATTTTAGTGTCTTTTCATTCCATGTGGTTTTGTTTTGCTGAAAACAAGAGGATTTTGTTTATTATGAGGCAATGTTCTGTCTTGATGAGAAAGCAGTATTTTGATGAGTAATTTAGAAGAATTTTTTAGGATTAGTGCTGGATGTGCTGATTCACTTCATCTGAAACTGAACATTTAAATACTGGGTAAAGACTCATGGATGGCGACCGTTACTGTACGTTACCCAGCTGAACGGAGGCATCAGGTGGTTTAAGAAATAGTATAGAAAGGTGTTATGTTTCTCCTTAGTTCAAAATATTGTGTGGGTATTTGTGTTTCTAAGTAGGAAAAGCTTTTTAAAAGTTTCTGAAGTTAAAAAAAAAAGCGATCATATATAGAATGAACTTCTTTTTTTGTCTAGGAAATAGGTAGATTAATTGCTATTAGGAGCATTTTAGAAATATAATTTGACAACCTCAGGATCTAGTAGGGAAAAAAAAGGGAGGAAAGGGTAATAATTTTTTGTGGGGTTTTTTTTGGGTGTTGTTTTGGTCAGTCTTGGGATATAATGCATTTAAATATTTCCATAGATATTTCGCAATGCTGAGGTTCTCCCAATTTTACTCCCTGCTTATGTCATTAACCTTAGCATGGCTGGGCAGGTATGCCAGGTTTCTTTCTTACTATCAACTTGAATTCCTTTTCCACAAGTATCTGCAGTGCAGGGTCTCAGCTGCGCATGGGAGGAGGTATGCTGCTTCCCAGGCAGATGTACATGGTGGCAGTGACCTGGGCTCTAAGTGCTTGTCTGTCTGCAAATGCAGGAGGAGCTGTTGGGTCAGTACGTCCTGCTCAAATACCTGTTCTTGCTCCACTGGGAGGGAAGGACATGCCTCTAGCTTGCTGGGGTTCAGAAAGAAAGCTGGAGATCTCCAATGAGATTATTGCTGATGTTCTGTGGTGGATATGATAGATTAAAAATAAAATCAGTATTAAAAGAAAAATTTAGTTTCTAGGGAGTGATGGTTGTAGTCCAGTAGGTACTAATTCCAGGAAGTTTTTGTTGTGGTTTTGTAGCTTTGCCGATGTTTGAACCAACTGTAGGCGTTGTGTTTTGGAGGGAAGGTTGAACACTGCTGCAGAACTCTTCCAACAAGCCTTAAGGAGCACATTAGATCAGTAGTGCATAGATGTTCTGGACCAAATGTTTTTGGGTTTTTTTGCAGCAATCTTTACCATGTTTTATGTTTGCAGGTAATAAAAGCTGATCTTTACATGGTTGGCTAACAAACTGTAATTTAACATGCTATTTTCATGTTTTAACTGTACCAAGTTTAAGTTTTCTATATTCTGTTTTGCACTGTAGCTCTGCAGCTTAAATCACACTAAAAGCTGGCTAAAAATGTTAAATTACTTTGTTTTAGATGAGCTGACCTGTATTTCCTTTAAACTTTTAAACTTTTTTATGAATTCTGAGAACTTATAACTAAAAAATATACCAATTCAACTCTTATTGATACTTTTCCTGTAATTATTTTTCTTTTAAGGTGAACCTCTAAAGCTGCTCAGCATGTTGTTTTGAAATTGCTAAGTTGTAAGTGTACGTGTACATAAAATACTGCAAAATTTGATTGTCTTTCATAGGGAAGTTTTTACCTTTGAAGACAATGTTAGGACCAAGATATGATGAACAGGTTGCTGAAGAAAATCGTTTTCACCCGAGTATGCTATCCAACTACTTGAAGAGTCTGAAGGTAAAGTTAAATTTTCTAGTAGTTGAAACATTAATTATTAATGTTTATTCAAATGTTGCTTTTCAGATTTAAGAAAAAAGTGGTTGATGGCTTCCTTTGAGACACCTGTACAGAAATATATCTCTTTGTTTACATTTTCAAGTTTTCTCTGCAACTCCTAAATTTCCAAAAGTACTTTCTTACAGGCCTGAATTATGCAAAATTCTCCTGCTCATTCACTGTATTAGCAGCAAGAATGTCACTCTTCTCTGTTATTACTGTTGCATCTTGGAGAGATGTCATTGTCAAAAGTCAGGTAGTCCGAGTTGGTAGTTTTACAAATGACTCTTGCATATGGATATGTTAAGTTGCAATTTTGCTTACAGGAGTGAAAGCATTTAAAAGTGAAAGGAGAATTTCATAGAACTCTTCTCTAGTTTCAATGCATTATTTTCTTCTTTTGATGCTTAGAATGCTTTATGGTATCTAACCAGTGATACCCAAGTGTGGAAGAAAACAATTTATGGATTTTATAGTGAAAAAGAAATGCATAAAGAGGAAAAAAATTTAGGAGCGTGGATTGGGGCCCAGGAAGGTGGGTGGATGCCTTTATCACTGGCTTCTAGAGTTGTGCTTCTGGCTTATTACTGCATTCTCTGTTTTGCCCATTTCTGTCTGTCTACTTCAACTTGCACATTGTTCTGCACTGTAGCACAACTTTGACAATAAAGGTGGGGAACAGGACCTTTCCAGCCTTTCACGTAGGTGTGTGAAGTGTTGTGCCCAGTCCAGTGCATCTGGAGATGTGGGAAATGGGATTTTGAATTTCCTAGGCAAAGAAAGGCCTAAACCTAATTCTTTTAATGTGTTTATTAAATTGTTATATAGAAGGTTAGCACCTTTTTTTGACTGTTTTGTAAAACTAAGCACACTAGTGACACTTTTTCTGTGGTTTTTTTTCTTTTTTTTTCCTGTTGATCTAAGTTAAATTAATTCTGAACTTGTTTAGCAATATCAGATCTTAAACATCAGAAGAATCACGTGACTAAAATATTGGAATCTTAATTTTATTAATCTTATTTAGGCTTAGATATGAAGTAGATGGTGAGCTACTTAGTGTAGCACTGATAGGAGTACCTGTGGGCTAATGTGATAAGAAAGTACTACCAGTGAAGTGTATGTGCCTGTTTTCAGGTGCTAGAACAGGTAGGATTTTTCTTGTCTGAATTCTTGAATCTATGCATCTAAATTCTGCTTGAGTTCCTCTTTTATGCCTTATGCTGTTTTTGACTCTGACAGGCTTTAATGGGCATACCTAGAAATTTTCCAAAACCAGTCTTATTCATGGTTTGATGTAATTTGAAATTCTGTATATATTTTGAAGTTATAGAGAAGTTGAGAGACTTATTCAGAATTTCTGACTTTTTTGCTTGTTAGTGATTTGTCACCAAAACAGAAATCATGGTGACCCTTCATAGACCTTCCACTAGGCACATCAATCGGTTCTATTGTAACACTACAAATTCATAATGTCTTGAGTGACATCAGATGATTAGAATCTGGTAGTACGATTACCAGCATGAGGATCCCCGCTTATATTTTGATAATTTTGGTTAAAAAGCAGAACATACAATTTTTCTCAAACTCTCTGTTCTCATCAAATCTATTGTGTTGTCTTGCACCCTGGTATTGTTGCTAAATGTTTGCTATTTGAAAACATACAATTTTTTATTTGCCGAGATGTGCAGTGGCTTGCTGGAGTGCAGTATTTGTAGCACAGCAGTCTACCACCAATCTGGCAATGAGATGAATGTGCAATTAAGGAGACCTTGAAAAGTGGATTTTCCCAAGGCAAAAGTAGCTCATTGTGCATGGTTCTTACCATCTTACTGCAGTATTTTTTACTGCTAATACTTTGCAGAAGGAATCACTTGTGAAACCTGGTTATGAACCTTGAGTCCATATAATTTATCTCCCAAATAAGAATCTTCAGCAGAAACTTTTACATCTGGATTTTGGTTATAGTGAGATATTGCTGCTACCACAGATTCTTGAAGGTACCAGTTCAGCAATTAAGACAACATCTGTCTGGGAAGAACTTTCTCTAACAAGTGTCCTGTGTGATTCCTTTTTCTCATGGAACTGGTGGCTGAAAATCTGAATGTTACAAACTGATTTGATAAGGGATAGCAACCCCCTTTTTCTTCCCATTGTCAATATTGGCATAGTATCTTAACGGTCTCATGAAAAAAATTTGCAGGAGTGATGGATGACAGTATGAATAATTTTATTTTTTTTATTTCTTTCTTGAGTAGGTAGGTTAGTACTGTTTATGCTTTATAAAAGGTAGTTTTATTTCTGTTATGAAAAGCTAGGACATTAGTTAAAAGGATGTTTGGGCAATTAGTATGCTCAAGTTACAATATTCCTGTTAGGAAAACTAGTTATCAGTTTTCAGCCTCATTACTGTTTTCACAGTTAAATCACTGATTTAAACTATTTCCTCAAAAAAGAAATGGAAGAAAAAAATCATGGGTCTGGAGAGAATTCAGTGTATTGTAGTATGCTCCCTCCCTCCTGGGGAGAATGTTTTTAAGTTCCAAAATCTAGTGGGAAACTTCTGGGGTCAAACAAAGGGAACTTAGCTAAGCCCATTTAATTGCACAGCAGCAGCAGAGTGCGCACATAAGGCATTAATAGCTGGAGATAGCTGGAATGTGAGAAAGTGAGGAGGAAGGCTTTTATGGCTGTAGGAGGTCATGGAGAACCTAGCCAAAATAAGTATGAGCAGAATGGAGGTAGTCTGAAGATCTTGGTATTATTGTATGTAGAAGATGAGAATTTCAAGCTATTGATGAGCTTTTTTTTTTTTTTCCTTCTCTCCGGTCATCTTTTACAATTAGAAGTAAGAAAAATGAATTTCAATTGTGTTTCAATGTGGTGTCTAAGGTTTTAGTGTTGCAACAGTCCTTTTAAGAAATAAATGTATATTTTAGTAAGAAGTTGCTCAACAATTTAAAATTATTCTTTCTTCCAAAGCTGTGTCATTCAGTGGGTGTGGTGGACTGAAAGATGTGATTCATGCAAAACATTGGCTGGAAAAAGTTTTTTCCAGTGGGTGACTATTTTAGTTTAGATAGTCTTTCAAAAATCGGTTCTTATCAAGAACTTTCCAGGAGCAAACTTAGGAGAGCATGACTGAGAGAATGACTGTGATGACTGGTGTGATGTCAGGGCTTCAGAACAGAGCAAAGCACTTGCATGATGAACGTATGTGTACTAGAATCTATTCTATAGGTGAGAATTGTGGTTGGTCAGGACAAGGATAGCATAAACCTGGTCAGTGACTGAAATATTTTGATTCCTGTGGTGCCAGTGTTTTTTTGCATGGATTTTTGGAGCATCATAATTGTATACTTTGATATGTTACATATAATCCCCCTGCTTTTTAAAAGTGTCCTTATCTTTTTCTCTTGCCTTGCACTCTCTAAATTGCAATGTGTTGTGTGCAGCTAATCCCCTGAACTGAGAGCGCAAATTTTTATGCTTTCTGTAAGCAAGGAAGCTGCTTTCAGGCCTTATATACTCTATATGCCATACATGCTTTTATAGCTTTGGCTAAATTATAGCCTGTTTGGTTTACTGCTCCATGAAATGTGTGAGGAACAGTGTCATTTCACGAGATCTTCACTTGTATATGATTGAAATGATTCGTAATAATTGCAAAGGAATAGCAGGCCAGAAGTCCTAGAGTCTTGTCGTTCAGAATTTCCTCTCTAGCAGACGCTTTGCTATATTTCATTCTCCTATTCAAATTAAATGCAACATCCCAAATGCTTGGTGACAATTTGGGTCTGAAGTACATTGTAGTGTTTTCCTGGCTTCTACATGTTAGTCAGGAAACTGAAATCTGTATGTTCAAAAGAGTAATTTCTAAAAGGTGAGAGAAAAGCCTGTGAGTATTCTTTGAGCTTAAAAGCTTTGACATAAAATTAATTTCTGTGCTTTCACGCATCTTCTCAGTGATAATTCATTGTAGCAGGACTTTGGGGAAGTTTGGAGGCTTCTGGTGGCAACATTTGAAGCTGCTGGTATTTGGGAACAGTGGGGTTGAGAATTGGCTTTGAGTTTTCAACACTAAAATGGAGTTGGATTTCTCCTGCTTTTGGATGGGGGATGTGAAACTATGTTCTGCAAATCACTTGCATTTCTTCTTGAAGCTCTCCTTTAACAATTTGATGTATTAAACAGTATTACCTTTTAATCTGTCTTCATGCTTTTATTAAAGGTTGTTTTCCTCATGGCTTTTTTCCCTTTCTCCAGACTGTCAGATACAGCATTTTTTCCAAGAAGATTTGAAGATTCCGAGTTGTTTCACATTTTAGCTTTGAATGAAATGTTTCTGAGAATTTAAGGAAATTTTTCTTTTAAACTTGAAAATGTGTTCATTTGTTTTGCACTCTGATTTAATGGATGGGTAAATTAAGATGAGTTATTTTTTCTGAGAGTATATTTATATATGTCTCAGTAGATAATTTTTCTTAATGTACTTCCACTGTGCCAGTGTTTAACATTGTTCTGCCTAAAGCATAAGAGCACCTGTTTTCACCTTATTTGTCTTTTAACATGTTAAAACAGTTCTTTACCAGATACTTTTCTGCTGTTTGCAGATCTTTCTTATTTAGAAATGTTGGTGGGAACAAATTGAAGTTTTTGAATTGATGGCTACTGCTAATTCAGACACCACCTTTTACAAAGAAACACAGATGACTGTGATGTTGGTAAAATATAGATTTTTATGAACAAGTGCAATATTTAATAATTTTTAAACTTGTAACTGTAGCTGCTATTGCTTTTAATTTGGGTGTTATTAGCCATTTACTATTTATGTGCTGATATTTGAACCACATATAAAAGTTTATTTTTTATTTTATTTTTTTTTAGGTTAAAATGGGTTTACTGGTAGACTTGACCAACACCACGAGATTCTATGATAGGAATGATATAGAGAAAGAGGGAATTAAATATATAAAGCTCCAGTGTAAAGGGTAAGTTGTCTGCACTTTTTAATATTTAGGTTTTAATTTGAAAGATCACACTGAAATAATTTTTTTTCCCCCCTCTTCCCTTTCCCACCAGCTGTCTCCTAATCTGTGTCTTCCTGTGTTTTTCAGGCATGGTGAATGCCCTACACCTGAGAATACGGAAACATTTATCCGTGTATGTGAACACTTCAGTGACAAGAATCCATCAGAGCTTATAGGTATGTCGTCTTATATCCATTACATCCATCTTATATCCATCATTAGTTTTTACTGTTAATGTATTTCATATTTAGTCATAACCGCAGTCTCTTATTCTTAAAAGTTTAAACAAAGCAATTTCCTCAGTACAATGTTTATGCATATATAGATTTAATTGCTTTTACTCCAGAAACTAGTATGTTTCTACATCCATCAATTTGATTACAGCTGTTGACTTAATGTGGAAGAATATACAGGCTTAAGAACTGTCTACAAATACATATTACTTGCATTGTGTTTTTGTAACTTCTGCTGATGCAAATGCAAGTTATGTATTCCCTAAGTATTGTTTTGGCATTAGATGCTCTGGTTTACTTGAAGTCATATTTGATAACGGAATGATCAGAGATTCTTGAGCAAATCTCACAAAGTAGCTGATTAATTGCTGGAAACTGGTAGTAGATATTAGGCTCAGTTTTTCTTCTGTGGTGTACTGTCTCGCAGTGAGTATTTGAATGTTCTTAAGGATAATTTTTTTTTTTTTACCCAGAGCAAAATAAGTTCTCAGTTTAATTTGGATGGCTTCTAGTTTTAAATTAAACCCCATTTTATTCTGATTTCTGTTAAGCATACTAATGTTCAGCTCTATCTGCAAACTGTCAGAAACAAGAAAAAAACTTTGCAGCTGAGTTTCCAGAGTCAGAATGGGTGTTGTCCTCAAGCCTCTTTGATGATAATTCTGCAACTTTCCTGAATCTGAGTGTCTGTGTGACTTAGCAGTGCATGGAACAGTTGTTTGTGTAGGTGTCATTGATAAGAGCTTGGTAAACTAAGCTGGTATGTTCCTACAGTTTAAGATTCATAGAGAATCATAGATTTGTACAGTAGTTGAGGTTGTGGAAGGGACCTGTGGAAATCAGCTGGTCAGTTGCCCTTCCTTAGAGCAGGGCCAGCCAAAGCGGCTTGCTGAGGACTATGCCCCATGGGGGTTTTGACCATCTCCAAGCTTGGAGTCTCCACAACATCTTCTGGCAACCTCTTTCATTGTTAGCTTGTCCTTACAATATAGAGGGGTTTTTTTCTTATGTTTAAACAGAATTTATTGTATTTCAGTTTGTACTTATTGCTTCTTGTTCTGTCACAGGATACCACTGATAATCGTTTTTTGTTTTGTTTTTTTTTTTTCTTCAATGCTTGAGAGAAGTAATTTGGGCAGACAGTTTTTCACATAGTTTTCTTTTAGGTACTTTCTTATTTCTTTATTTCATAGAATGGAATTTTAATTTGAGACCTATGTGTTCTGCTCTAAACTGTAACACAAGTATGTGATATGAAAAATGAGGAACTGCTAAATGACAGTGAGTGGGATCAGTCATCAACAATATTTCAGGACTTGCACCAGAACTTGAAATACTGCCGATGACTGATCCCACTCACTCTCATTTAGCAGTTCCTCATTTTTCACTCTCCTTTCGCAGTTCCTCCACTTGGTCCTCCAACAATATTTCAGAACTTGAAATATTGTTATGGTCAGCAATTTATATGGAGCATGGATAGCATGGTGATATCCTATAAATAGCAGACCCATTTCACTGGTATTTCAGCTTTTAAAATGCCATTTTTAGTGTTGAGTCACTAACTTTTTGACTTCTATGAATTTTGGAATGTTCTTCTGTTAGGTTGTTTCACCTCTATGGAAAAAAGGCCAATTAGAAAGAATCAAGAAGAAAATAATATGTTGACTAAGCTTGAAAATAACCTGTGATTTAGGCTTTCATAATAAAAGAGAAATGTTGGGATTGTCCATTTCCTTTCCATGAATTACTGCAAAGTTGTTTCTGGTTCTGGACACTTGTTTCCTCTGACAGAGCATCACAGGGACTGGTGTGGAGGATATTTTTATCAGAAGCGAAAGCAGTCTGCAGCAGTGATAGTACTGCACCCTGCGTGATCTTTCCCTTCCAAGCTGTTGGTCTCATTGCTGAGATGCTTCGTATCTTTGTCATGTGTATAAAATTATTGACTTAACCTTCTTGGTAGCAGTAACAGCTGCAGGACTTATTGATAGCAATTGAGTGCAATTTCATTGCCAGTGTCAAGATTAGATATGAAAACAGACTGAAATATGAATGATAAAAGTGAACAAAATTTTCTATTCAGTTAGAACAATATAGGATGGAAACTTTATTTTTGCATCTTCAAGGATTGGAATATACCTGGCCAGCCTTAAGGAAACAAAATGCAAAAAATTTGCTTAAGGAGAAAACAAAGGAGAAATGATTGCTGGAAACAAATTCTGTAAGGAAGCTAAAATTCATTTCATTTGATGCAAGTTACACAGTTTTTAATATTATTAAATGGTTAGAACAGATGAATCCAAGAAATTTATAGTAGTTTTTGCCTTTTCCCTTATTAAGAAGGGAAGTTTGGTAGGGTGGGCACAAAACCCGATCCTGATACAGTTAATATATATTTCTGTTTACCCATATGAAGTTTCTGGTTATCAGTCTACTCTTTGTAGGCATTTTTTGGATCTCTATTAAAAAAAATACTTGCTGTGTAGGGGAGCATATAGAAAAAACCCTAGATATTCACATTTCATCTGAATAAGCATCAAGTGAATTATCGCTAAATTTACTTTACTAATTCTGCTAGAAAAATAAGGAAATCAATAAAAGCCTAAGGTCACAACTGAAAAATACGTTAGTGTTAAGACTAATTGCGTTTGGTCTTAGTGGAAATTTTAATTCTCTGAAATTTGTAATTTAAAGTGCAGTATGAGGAAGTGGCAACATCTTGCCTGAATCCTTGACAGCATTTTTAATAGCACAGATTTTCAAGCTGGTTTGTTTATCACTAGATGGTGCTATTGCCTTGAGAGAAAAAAAAAATGTTCCGATATATTCGACTCTACCCCTCCTTTCAATGGGGGATGAACTCAGTAAAATAGAGGCTGAAGACAATTTTTTTTCCCCCCCCTCCACATTGAAAAGATAAGTAGTTCAAGGTGATTATACTGTTGTATAGGTTTCTTTTTGTAGGTTTTTTTCCCAAATTAATAAGTCTGGTCTAGCTATGGTAATAGCAATTTTGAAATAGAATTGTTGTCTATTGACACCACTTTCAAGTTTGAGGTAGGATAATCTGGATATCATTTTTATGCCTGATGGTGTGAAATGAATGTAATGCTTGTTGAAGTCCACTAAAGCTCAATTATTGAATTTGATTGTATTGTCTTCTGATAAGCATTTGAGCAGTCATAAAAAATACTTTGAATTTTATCTGTACTAGACATATTTCAGTTGCATTAAGTTAGTGCTCTTGAGTTGGGATAAACTCAGGTATCCTATACTTTTGTTGCTAATAATTTGCAGAAAGAATGTAATAAATTGCTTTTCAGGCTTATGTGCCTTCTCTGACCTGGCCTGCCTTGATAGGAAGGTTGATAACTCTTCTTTGTTGCTAATGAAGGTGGAAGGATCCAAAAACACAGCTGTGAAACTAAAGCATGTTTGTTAAAACTACTTGCAAATGATGATGCTCTTTCCTTGTTTTGTCTAGGTGTCCATTGCACACATGGTTTCAACAGAACTGGATTTCTGATCTGTGCCTTTTTGGTTGAGAAGTTGGACTGGAGGTAACTTTGAATGTTAATTCCTAGGGATTTGTGGAGACTAACCAAACGCATCTTCAGTATGTTCCACTCGTTGTCCTGACAGCTATCCTAATGTATTCGCTGTCTGTTATTTTAAAACTGCCTACTAATCTTGAGCAAACAACCTATATTATCATTATTCGTATCATCTCTTGGTAGCTTAGCCTATTTCAGTCAAGCTTTCCAGGTCCAATAGGTCAAAAGTAGCTGTACCTGCTGTGTGGGGGCTTTTAGAAGTATATATATTGTATTGTACCTCTTCCCTGTGACATGTCCCACATTTTGAGTAAGAATGTAGAGTTCAGACATGCCTGAGAGATTATTTCTCTTTTTCTTTTTTTTCATGTAGGTTTGTGTTAAGGTTTTTTTTTTTTGTTTGTTTGTGGTTTGAGTTCTGAAGAGGTCAGCTAGAGCAAGTATGTCATTGCTGTTGCTTCTGAAGGGTCGGGGAAGACAAAGTCCTTCTTTCCGGCTTGTTGTTTGACTAAAGCCTACAGAATGCTTCTGTACAGACTCAACTGGGGTTTTTTTGTGATGTAAAAATGTTGGTGCCCTCATAAAGAGTAGTGATCTTTTTCAAGTTTAAAAAAAAAATTAAAAAAAATGCCCATACCATGCTGGTGGGCGTGACTTTTGCATGTTTGGTAGCATTCAGGAAACACACTATTTCCTTGCTGACAGGGTCTCCTGGAAAGCGTGTTTCTTAAACAAGTCTCTTAAGCATTCTGATGATATTTCCAGTACGGTCCTCTAAGTGAAAAAAATTCTACTTCTGTTGCATTTTCTTATGACTGGACATAGTTATTTGGTGCTTAGCATGTATGTGCAAGCTGTTTGCAAAAAGAATTAGGTCATTGTTGTCTGTTAGTAAACTTGGAACAAAGACATTGGAGTAATGGAGACAGAACACCATTAGTAGTGGGTGGCTGAATCTTGGCAGAATCTTAGCTGACTATAGGAAGGAGACACAGTACAAATATCTTTATAGTATGATTCTAGTTGTTCCTATGAACTAGCAAATTTGTGTGCTTTTAATCTAACAATTTAAAAGCAGCATGCAATAATTAGACTCAGAATTGGTTCTTTGTTCTGAAGAGGAAATGCACTTGAATCCATTTGAATCTTCTGCTTTTATGCAGCCTCTCTTTATTTTCAAACCTCTGTGGGAAAAGCCTTAAAACTTAACAACCATGTCTTATTTTTTTTGCTTGATAGCAAGGTAGTTAATTGTTTCAAGTTTGTTCATCTGTCAGATTTTTTTAACAGAACACCCAGCTATCACCTAGTAAGAGAAAAAAAAATGTCCACAGCAAAAGAATGAATTTCAGCAAGGTGATATTTAATGCTAAGTATTGTATCAAGATTAATCCAGTTTTTTATATCATTCTTTAACATAAGGCACTGTTATTTGCTGATGAGAAAATAAGATTTTCCTGATGGAAAAATCCATCCATATTCATTTCTTAAGCATATGATATAGGAATGCTGCTGATGTATCGTGAATACTGAGATATATTTTATAGTTAGTTCAAAGAAAGGTCATCCAGACTGAAAGCTCTCCAGCCAGTGATACGTTACTTGATTCTCTTTTTCACAACTCATTTTTCCCAAAGACTACAATATTTCTAGAACTTGCAAAATATGTTTTCTTTCAGCTAGGTTTCTGTGCTTGAAATCTGTGCTGCCTCTTTTGGCTTTCATTACCATCTATTCCAGAATAGTATAGAGTTCTAGTAACATCAGAGACGAATTTGAGCATCTTTCAGGCCCCATCTCTTTTGGTTTGTTTTGTCCTTTCAATGAGATTGATTACAGAACATGTGAAACAATTTAAGAAAGATACCAAAATAAAAAATGTCTTGTGAGGAAGAAATTAGGAGTCTTAGAAAACAGAATGGAGAAGACAGCTCCTTCTAAATAACTCAGATTCTTAAACTGTCATTTCTGAGATCTGATGACTGACCATCTGATAGTCTCACTCTGGAAAATGTTTTGTTTTCTACCCTTTCCAAAGATCAGAAGAGAAAAGCAAACGTACTGGTTTTTAGGAAGTGTTCCAGTCTATTCTGGGATATTTGCCTCATAAAGTTCTCAGGCTCCTTCCCATACTGCACAGATCAGGCAAAAAATGCGTTTTGTATTTAAATTCTATTTTCCATTTTAACTATATGTTTTCCCTGTTCCAGTGGCAGGCTATTTTCTTACCTGAATAAAAGTCTTTTCACAGCATGTAATATGTGCTTTTGTTCCAGCTTTAAGATTTGTGCTTGTCAAGAAGCCTAACAGAGGCATGTACCTTTTGTGATTTATGCTCTCTTTTATTTAGCAAGATTTCTAAATGTCGATTCATGGAGTGTTACTGTTCCACACAGCCATGACAAATTGAAGACAGAATTATGTCCAGTGTTTCTGTTAAACATTTTCATAAGATCTACGAAAATAGCAACAATAAAACTCTTATGCTGTGCTCACTGTTGTATATTGTGGAGTGCTTTCCAGTTGGCTAGTAAAGGTGCATGACTTAGTTTTGGTTTCTAATTTTTTTGTGATCCAATCTCCAGTTTATTAAAGCACTTAAGTGTTAGCTGCATAGTAAAAAGCTCCCGAATTATAGGTTTTATGGGAAACTTCTGGAAAGAGAAGTAATTTCAAAGATTAGGATGCCTTTTCCCAGTGTGATGGTAAAACCCCTAATGAAAGGAAAGATAATTCTTAGGGGGAAAAATGTAGCCATATTTGAATTTTAGCACTTGCATTTTTCTTCATTAAGTTTGTTCAACTTTTTCTTTAGTCTTTTTGTCTTCATTCAGTCCTTCAGTACTTACCTACGTGTCACTCATTTCTTTTCTGTAGCAATAATAAAAGTTTCACCTAGGTGACCAGCAGACCACTATTAGCTACAATAAGGAGACAAAGCAGTGCAAGCTACAGTAACTTCTGAGAACATACGCAGTTCCTACGTAATTATGCAGAATCTTGTGCAAGAGCAACTGTTGCCAGGCATGATGTTTCAAATATAATGAATGTTTTTGCAATTACTAGTTTAATTTTTTTTTTAATTCTCAGTCCCAATAAATCTCAGGTTTGTTAAGGCATAGCATGACTAAAACATGTAAATTAAGCATCCAGAGTAATTTTCAATTTTTATTTGACAGTATTGAGGCTGCTGTGGCAACTTTTGCTCAGGCTAGACCACCAGGTATTTATAAAGGTGACTATTTGAAGGAATTATTTCGTCGTTATGGAGATGAAGATGATGCACCGTCACCACCTGAGCTACCAGAATGGTGCTTTCATGAAGATGAAGAGGAGGAGGATGATAATGGTAAAGTAGGAGGCCAAGAATCAGAACCTGGATCATCAAGCTCTTCCTTTGGCAAGAGGAGAAAAGAACGTCTAAAACTGGTATTTTTGATTAAGAACTCCATATTCTAATTGCTAAACTTAATTTCTTAAACTCATAATCATCAGTTACTACATAATACGTGCTATATGAGTGTCAGTGCTTTTGCAAATGAGGACTGGTAGTATTGTGTCTAATTGGTAAAAAAAGGTAAATTCATTGCAAACTCTTATGTTTCCTGTATAAACCCTGAACTTTAACATTCAACACTTCAGCTATTCCAGTTGTAACAATGACTTAAAATTTTTCTAATATAACATTCTATTTTATTTTTTTTTAAGCTTGAGTTGAGATAGTAAAGCATTTTTAAATTTTTCACTCTGTCTTTAGAGGTGAAATGTTACGGGGAAAGTGTGTAAACAGTTTTTATTTATTTTTGTAGCAATGTGGATGAAAGTCAGCATTTTTTAAATTCAGTGTTCATTTTGGTGAATACTCTTTACTTTTGGAAGTTTTGAAAGATTGAGAATTGGATTAGCAAAAAACATGAGCTTAAAAACCCCAAGGCAGCTGTGAAATTATATTTCGTTCAGGGCTATTTAAACTGTATAATGATAAGAAATATGGCTGATCACTTACTCTGATTATTTGGACATAAATCTGCATAATTCTCATGAAATAAGTTACTGAAGTTACTATAGTATGGAACTAATGCTTAAGTACAAAGAATATACTTGTATTATCTGAAGAGTAATGGCTTGGTTCTCTCTAAATTCCTGACTTTTTTATTTTTATTTGCGAGTAGAGGAGAATATTGCTGAGTGCAAAAATAGATTCAGTTCTTTTTGCATAATACCGAATTATTTTACTTATGTGCTGAGGTGTGTGTGTTTGCAAACACTTGGAAATTCTTGTATGAAATAGGATGCAAAAATGCATTTTGTTATTACTGCAGCTGTTCAACATGGTTTAGAGATGGAGTAGGGAAGAAATTAGCCTGAAAGGAATGCAAAATCTCATCCAAAGCAGAAAGATGAACTTTGAAAACTTTCAAATAATCCATCAGCTGAAATAAAAAATTGTCTACACTATAAAAATATATAGTAAAAATATATTCAGGGATATGGCTGCTACCTCCATTAGCCTTGCAGTTGATATCTAAACAAATTTATTCAGGCCAAAACCTCAAAACTATTTTTTTTACTTGCTTTTTGATGCATTAGCAAATGAGGCATGATGGTGAGGTCCAATGATGGCCTCTTTTCAGCAGGTATAAAACTAAACCAGTCTGTTTAACAGGAATCATGATACTGGCTTCCCAGTCTTTTTGTTATCTGCCACTATAGTTTTTTGAAAGCTGGAGGCTAAATTATACGAATAAGCATATTAATAAGTAAAAGTTAATTATGAGATAGATAATTTATGAAAGAAATAATCATCTAGTTAATATGCATATTCGTATAATTCAGTTTTGCAGCTCTGGAGGAACATGCTTTGACATGAAGAGGAGGAACGGGGAGAATTCTTTACCATGTTCTTGGCTGGCAGATTGGACTGCTCCTTAACTGAGTAGAGATGGATACAATCTATTTGTGATTCCTTGTAAATATGCAATCTACAGGGTGAATGATTATCAGGTAAATACCTCTTGCTCAGATTTTCTTATTTTACTGTCTAAAGGGCTAAATTTTCAGCACTACAGCTAAATTCCTGCAGCAGATGTTTTCAGCATTCTAATGTGACTCCTCCTCTAAACACCTAGGGGTAGACAGTGTCAAACTTGAGGTGGCTGGTGTGGTAGTCATGTTCTGAAATGTTCTCATTTTTACCCAGATCTCTGCAGGGATAGAAGAAAAGCTTAGGGGAAGAGGAGGAGACGTCTCCCAGGCATAATGATAGCCATAATGAATAGTCAGAAGCAACTGCCCAGCTAGCCTGCAAAGTGAACTTAGCGTGCTGTGCATTTCAGAAATTCTCTCCTGGCCATGAGAAACTTTACTGCAGCGTCGTTCGCTAAAATGTCCGTATTTTGACGTCAAAAAGTCTTGAGGACCTTTCTTTTCTACACTACAGAAACTGTGGGAACAATTAGAACATAATGCCGTTACAGTTTCTTTTGTCATCATGCGAATGTAGTTGACAGGTAACAGCAAATCTGTTTGCTTTAGTCTCAGATGCTACACAGGAAACCCAAATACGATTTGACATAGTTAGTGTATGCCATAATGATTATAGCATTGAAGCAACATTATTAGCTGACACTTAGAATCTCACTTCAGGAAAAAAAAAAAATACTTGAATTTGCAAATAGGACAAAAAGTTATAATTCTGAGCCAGAACTTCAGCTTTTCATGGGTCAACCAGATCTTTTTACTGTTTATTAAGGACTGCCATCTGTTCTAGCCCAATGTAAGCTGTGTATTTCACAGGCAGGGTGTAATATGTAGTGCTTCAAAAATGGGTGGTTACATCTCAAACAGTCTGGAAGAGATGGTAGCTGTTAATGATTTTCTTCATGATTTTGAGGGTAGGTGTCTTGTGGTCATCTATGAGACGGAGGGAAACCACTAAACCTCATGGTTGACATAGTGAGGATATTTATTATATAACTATCAAAGTACTTTGATTCTAAATATTAGTGACTTGGTTTTTCCCTAACCTACTTTTCTTCCCCCATAAAGTTAACCCCTATACTTATTGTTCTGTCCATGAGCATCTTGATGGTTATGGGAAAAAGCCCATTTTCTGATTTTGCAGCAGCATTTTACATGCTTGAATACTGGTGCCGTTGCCTTTCAGCCTTCTCTTTTTCCATATTAAATTCCAATTTGTTCACTTTTTCCCTATAGTCTGTATTTTTATGCTTCTGACCATTCTTGTCGTTCTTTGACCCATGTTTTTCTGAGACTGTGCTGCCCATAACTGAACACAAGCCTCTAGTTGATGTCATCCTAGTGCTTATTACGGAGGAATTAGTCTTAAGGCTAATACTTCTGTTTATATATCTCAATATAATTGCCTTTTACAAGACAGAATAATACTAATTCAGCTTTTGGTTTCTTGCTGCCTCTGTATCTTTTTTCCCCTGATTATCTACCAGTGTGTATTTGTATAATTGCTCAGTCCTTATTAAGTGTGGAACGTTGTTTATACTGAGTTGCAAGGTGTTTTTTCCAGCCCATTCTTAAAATTAAGCATAATACTGAATTCTTAAGCTGCCATCACAGTCTGTGTCCCTGTTACTAAATTCACAGGTGTCGCAAAAATAAGAATATGCTGTTAGGAAATTTAGGGAAAATAAATTCATTCTCTTATACCTAAAGCAGACCCCGCAGATTCTCCTCAATATATTGTTCCATTTTATTAGAGAACACTAGCTCCTCTGAACCTGGTTTTGAAACAGGTTGATCTTCTGTTGTATGGAAGTTACATCTACCCCATATTTTCTGAGTTCCTCTATGAGAACAAGACAAGCAAATGAAAGACAAGCCAAGACAAAAGCCAGCATCAAAAGATGTGATATTTCCTGCTTCTCCCAATTCTATGAAACTCGTTTCACCACCAAAACCAAATTATTAGTTGAACACTGTTGTTACTGAGTGACTGTCAATGTGATTTTGTTGTATCTTTTTTTGCTTGTACATGCCTATAGGCAGTTCTTGTGATTTGATCCTGTATTTCTAAGTATTAAATCTAAGATGATCAGTATAACTCCCTGGCTCTCCCTTCCTCTCTTTTAGAAGATGCAGACTCTTTCTCTTCCTGATATATTTTGGAATGTTACTTGTCCTCTGGAAGGCAGTCTCTGAGCATATTGGCACTTGGTCAAGTCTGAGTAGCTGAGGTTGGCTATCACCCAAGCCTGGTGATAGCCACTAGGGTCAGGGAGGTGTGTGGTTGGGGCTGTTTCCACCCACCCACTTCTCCAGATGGTGTTTAGGATCTGAAGCAACACAAGATGATAAACATTGCCACTTTTCCTTCAGCTGAAGTGATGGGTGGAGGGATATGGTGAGGAGAGTTTGATTAGTACAGATGGTGTGAAGGTTGTGCAGAGTGTAGGTACTAAGCGCATGTAGTTACCTTGGATACATTAGGGCTTAAAACTTGGCTTAGTAGCAGCGCTGAGGACCTGAGGTGCTCTGGCACCTCTGCACCGTGTTCTCCAGTGTCCTGTTTCCATAGAGGGTTGTTAGCTCAACAACAGTGCAGAAAGTGCATGGATCTGGCTCAGTTTTGGCATTTTTCCTGAGGAAAAGTCCCCATGAACCTGGAGTGCTGAGTTAGTCAAGCATGGATGCCCAAGTGATTCACCTTGTTTTTGTAGTGTGTGCCTTAGCTAGCGAGCATGCTTGAGGCCTGACCTTATTTTGTGAAAGCCTCTTCTGGTGTGTGTTCAGCTATGGCACTTTTAAAACTAGGATCTTGGTTGAGTCTCTGGATAACTGAGTTGATTGTATTCTTAGGCTGTGGTAATCAAGTTAAATATTCTCTGCCTTTACTGTCTTAATATTGCACACCCTCCTCTCTTCATACTATGTCCTCAGCACCTTGCTCTGTTCCTCCCTTTCCCCAGTCCTCTACTTCTTTCAACTTGACAGCATTACAGGTAGGGATTAGAGGTGCCTGATCAGGGGAATGGAGAAGCCTGTATGAAAACACAGAAGCTTGGCGTGTTTGTCAAATTATAGGCTGTACTTGTTTCCTTAATTCTTTCAAAATTACCCCCCCCCAACAAAATAATTCATATGTATATATGTAATTATGTACATCAAGCACATGCTGCTTGTGCAAGAGAACCTGTTGTGTTTGGTCAGGTGTTTAAAATGAATAAACAATTAAAAGCTGTTAGAATAAACTAATAAAGCAAAGTTACTGGAAACTAATTAGGATGTATAATTTCAATGTTCTGAGAAGCTAATGTTTTGTAATTTTGAAGAAATCATTCTAACTTTTTACCTTTCTTACCATATGGACAATTTTCTAAATTGCTTAAAATTATATCAAGCGTGAAAGCAGCACGCAGATGATTTCGATTTGTAGGACAACTTGACAGTACTATGCACTCTGACATTTGTGGCTCCAAAACCAGTTGTGTATGTGCATAACTCAATCAGATAATCTGCAAGAGACACTTTCAAATGGCAGTCACCAGTTTCGTATTTATGACCCTGTTTCTGGAAAATCTTTCCAGTTGCCTGTCTTTTGGTTTAATCTTAGCAGTGCCTACTGCCGTCGCACTGTGCCATTATTCTGAGAAGCAAGGCACAACCATCTTCCTTTATTTCATGGTGCTCTTAACCACTCACTCAGAATTCAGACAACACGCTGGCCAGGCATGTGTAGCTCCCTGCTTCCCTCACCCAGTCACCTGTGTGCTCTTGCACCTGCTGGTGCCCACATAATTAATATGGGATAAGTGACACACCGAAAGTCTGTGGAGCTTAGGGTAATTAAGGTTATGAACTGGCTTATTTCTTTAGGATGTTCTGTTCTCAGAATGTGATTTGGTGATGGAACTGAGCCAATCTTAACTCAATGCAGGTTGTACTGAATATTGCGGTCCTGCTTTCCCTGTACTCCTTGTGTTCCTTCTGCTTCCCTTGTACTGGCACAAGTGCTGACACATTTTATGGTGAGCTAGTTTAGGATACTAATTTGGAAGAAAATGACTAATTTGTAATACAGTTTTGCCAACTGAGTTCCTAGACTTGCTCAAGAGTAGAACAGATGAGTGCCACGGTGTGTGGAAAGGGAAGGGAGCGAAAAGGCTCCTTTCATCAGTAGTGTGCAGCTAGATTTGTTAAGGTAAGTTTCAAGCATTTTAGAGAACAGATACGACATACTTCTATCTTCATCTGCAAGATTCATAGCTCAACAGGTAGAAACTTCATGCTTTGGTCTTCTTAGTCTGCATTGAGAATTTATTTGAGATGCTGTTGAAATAAGTCTGGTCGATTTGGGATCTTTATAGAAGTCTTTAATTATGTAGCTTTGTAGACCTGATGGCTTTACAGTGTTCTGTTGTGCAGAATTTGTTTTTATTCCACTTGGTATGAAACTTCTTCTGGAATATACTGAAAATTAAACTCTAAAATAACTAGTATTCTTTTATTGATCTCTACTTAGGCTTTTCTGTGGCATTCAGGATAGCACCTCCACTTTAGTAACCTGGTTTAGATTGAGAATAAAATTATGCAAGTATATTTTTACACAAAGATTTTGTTACAAACCAGCTGTTTGCTTTCTCTTTTGTTAGGAAGTTTGTCCTAGATCAACTGAGAACCCTTTAAGTTTGGTGCTGCATAAATACATTAATTCTTTCAATTGTTTTCCATACAGTGTA